ACTTGAAATAAGACAATGCAATTGTTTTTTCTTATTTAAAAGGTAAATTGTCTTGTTCCAACAAAAAATCAGTTCTAGGAGAATCCCGCTGTCCTCGGCAAATTGTTGGGGGAGAAAAGAACTCGTCCATTTAAAAAAAAGAGATTGATGGATTTTACTTTTAGTTTGCATTTTATTATCTTTCTTTGAAAAGAAATGAGAACAAGACAAATCATGTCCTTCACAGCTGAAGTTATTACCTTTTCTGATTGAACAAAAGTTTTTTCACTAATTTAAAGTCTAGAAATGAGCTGCTAATGGGAGCCATTACTTTCTCAGACACTGTGTGGCCTTGCAGGTGAGAAAGGATTGAGTGAAAACTTGCAAAATCAATATGCATAAATCAATACATGTAAGGGAGTTAATACAGTAGGAAATTTAATTTTCTGACCAAACATGACAATAAAAATACATGAAAATGTAGAAAAACAAACATCAAAACAGTTGACAAAAATAATATTTTGTCCATGAGTGCCATCGCTTTTCTAAATAGTTGACTAAAAACTGTAAAATGTTAAATCAAATAAACAAGTATTATAATATTACTACTTGTAGTTTCTACAAATAGTTTCCATATAAAATACAGAGAATATCAATGAAACCACGAATATCTAAACTGGATAAAACTCTTTATTTTCATTTTGACCTTGTTGCTTTATTGGTTCATCATAATTTGAGTTAACTGTTTACCTCTTTTAGAACTGTGGTCGGGAACGAGCAAAAAAATTGGCTTTAATTTTAATCTCATACTGGCTAGAAGACGTTTTGTGGTAACAGTGCTGGCTGAGCTGATACAAATGTAATTTCCCTCTAGGATTATTGAAGTATGTCTGATTCTGATTCTGATTCTGATTCTGAAATAGAAACTATACCAGATAGACTTTGGATTAAAGCTTTACAGTATCAAACCTCAGAGGCAATAAATTCGGTTTTGTAATTTCCAACTACAATCGCAGATATAGATAAACTGCTCAAGAGTAAAGATCAAGGATCAGATTGAATGAGCCAAAGGGAATCAGCTCTAGTACAGGAAATTGTAGACTAGTAGCTGTAAACTAACGTCAGATGATAAGCAACAATGTCTGAACCTATCAGAATAATAGAATTTTATGATAGTAGGACTTCACATCTGCAGGCCTGTAAGTTTGCCATCAACTTACATAAAAAATAGATTTAAAAAATTATCCTGATTTTTATTCATATATTATATGTCAATGTTATGTAATGACAAAGAAGCCTTTGCTATAATGTCCTCAAGAAATCTGGAAAAAAATTTTTTGAAAAACATCTATGCAAGTCATATGCTGATGAAGATTCTGATGAAGCCATAGTTGTAATCAATGCCAGTAGATCCAGCTCTTCTGTCGCCCCCTAGTGGTCAACAGATATAAACTTTTCAGTCAATTTGAAGGTGGAATAATTGTAGTTCTCTTACGGCATCCAAGATGATTTTCTCCTTTAGAGTAAAACTTAGGAGATAATTGTTTGAATTTTAAAATTTATTATAAGCAGTTAAATGCAGATCAATATGGGATTCATTCCTGCCAATATTCCCTTCCTTTCCTCCTTCCATCTAAATTAAAACAAATAAAAATGCATGCTTTTCTCTTCAATTGTCTCCCAGTAGATAGAACAATTCTACAGCTCTTGTGCACATGTTGGCAAACATATAATGAATTATCATTAATGTTACATTTCGTCAATGTATTTTTAACTTCTCTGCAAAAAAATTCAGGAGTAGAAAGAGCTACTGGACACTGATTTTTCTTTTGCTTCTCTCAAGTCATCTGCTTTTTAATGCTAATTTTATATCATTAAAATTAAAATAAAAAAATTCTTTCTGATGTTTATAGTTCAAAATTGTTGCATATCAATGACTGAAAAATGTTCATTTCCTGCAAAAACTCTTAATAATGACATTTTTTTCTGTTGTAGCTTTAGCATTCTACTGGTGTTGCTGAGAGGTTTAACTAAAGCTTTATTTGACAAAACAAATAACGTGATTCGATATAATGTTTTTTTGAAATATATATTTATGTGGCTGTTTTTCATAGAGACAAAACCACCATCAATTGTCAATCTTGTGGCATTCCTCTAACAGTGAGCTCTGAAGGGCTCGTTTCATGACTTTATTGTTTTAAATAATTGTTCTGAATTAGGGTTAAAAGGAAACTCTGACTTTTATGTATTTTTTTTAAATTTCATATCATTTGTTTTCATTATTAGTTTTGTCAGATTCAAATAATTTCTGTCACCATTGTTGGGTTTTGTTTCATTAAATAATGGATAAAAACAATATTTCCATGTGTTTGTAATCATTAAAGCACAAGTATTAATGATGGTTGTAATCATATTCAGAAAATGTTCAAATTCGGTCCATAAAACCCATTATTTTAACTTCTTTAAACGTTTTTTACAAACAGACAACCAAATTTGGGAGACCCAAATCTCCAAAATCTGAAATCCCAATTTCGGGGAGTGGCAGGGGATTCGTTAGGGCATTGCGCTTGAAATCCAGAGGTTCTGAGTTCAAGCCCCGCTCGCACAGACTCCCACTCTGGACTCTGAGCAAGACCTTTAACCCCACGCTGCCACTCTGGCGCCGCACAATAGCAGCCCACTGCTCCCCAAGGGGATGGGTTAAATTCAGAGAGTGGATTTCTTTTCTCTGTACTCGTGGCAATGTAACAACAATAAAAGCTGGGGGGAAAAAAAGACCCAGTGATACATCATACAATAGGAGCTTATGATTAAACATGACGATTGACTGAGTTTATGATCAGCCCACAGGAAAAGCTGATGGAGTGAAACAAGAGGAAATAAGATTTAGAGGGGTAGTTTCTGGCTGTGGCTAAGGAGGAGAGATAGGGGATGGGGGCTAACACCTAGGGCGTCAGCAGGGTGGGGCAGGGAGAGATGTATTGGGGTTAAAGGACCAAAGCATCCATGACTGGTGGTCCCCAGCTGATGACCCGCTCAAGCTCAGAGGTGTAAAAAGCACACTTGTTTAAGGCACTGGTGGAGGTGTGTCAGGCTGCAATGCCCAGCAGGTAGAACATCACCCTGTATTTTTTAAAAAAAAGCTTCACTTCCTTCCTCTCAGCAGCTGT